GTTCAAGCAAAGTTTCGTATTTCACCACTTTCCACACGTCAGCAATATTAATGGAACTGGCCTTTGTTTTGATATCAAGTCCTCCTTGGGACAAATGTTTGATCAAAATGGAATAGGTGTAATGAGAAGGTTCATGTCCAGCATGAAACATACATTTTAGCACATCAAAGGCTCGATGCAGTAATCCTGCACGACCATAGCCATCAATCATTACTGTATAGGCCATCAAATCTGGCCTAACTTCCTCCTCTGCCATCTTAGCCATCACATCCTCTGCGTCTTTCAATTTCTCTTCATTGTAATATGCAACTAGAAACGAAGTGTAAATGCAGACATCAGGCTTGTGTCCTATGGAATCCATTAAATAAAAAACCTTGTACGCATGGTTAAAGGCAGATTCTTTTAATAGTTGCTCGATCAGGATACTATAGGATTCAATTGTGGGTTTAACACCACTTTCTGGCATCCTTTCAAGTAATTGGGCTGCTTCCAGCTGCTTACCCTGTTTACACAACCCGTTAATCAACACATTATAAGTGCATGCATTTGGGGAGCAACCTTCCTCAATCATTTCCTTAAACAACGTCAAGGCAAAATCAACTCTTTCAGCTTTGCAAAATCCATCAATTAGAGCAGTGTAGATCGCAACGTTAACCTTTATACCCTTCTCTTTCAGAGATCTAAAAATGGTGTGAGCTTCTTCAACTCTGCCTCTTTCACACAAGCCATCAACTAGAGTACCATAAGTCCACTCATCAGGAGCCAAACCATTCTCTTCCATCAATCTAAGCAACCTAAATGCACTACCTATTTCGCCCTCTTTACACTGTCCATGAACTAACAAGTTAAAAGTGACATCAGTAGGAGACAGTTTGCGTTCGAGCATCTTATCAAGTAGTGACATTGCCTTATGCGCCTTGTTTATCCTACAAAAGCCAGAAATCAATTCATTGTACGTACGGACATTCGGGATACAGTTATTCGGTTCCATTGTGTCAAAAACATCTAACGCGACATCAACCAAACCTTTCTTACAGTATCCATCAATCAAAGCATTGTATGTCACCACATTTGGAACTAGTCCATTTTCCGACATCACATTCACTAACACTCTCGCTTCGTCAAGCTTAAAGTCTTTACACAAGCCATCAACAAGCACAGTGTAAGTATGAACATTCGGCTTGCATCCTTTCTCCTTCATCTCATCAAACAATCGCAACGCTTCCGCCCTCCTATCCAATCTACACAACGCATCAATGAGAATCGTGTATGTCCTCACATTCGGACAACAAGCATCCTCATCTCCCATTTCCACAAACAACCTCATCGCCTCATCCATCCTCCCCGCTTCACACAACCCATGAATCAAATTATTGTACGAAACCACATTCCTTCGACAACCCTTCTTAGGCATTTCCTCAAACACCTTGTAAGCACTATCTACATCCTTTCTCCTACAATGCCCCAGTATAAACGACGTGTAAGTATGTGTATCGGGACTCAAACCAGCTTGCAAAATCTTACTCAAATAAGATTCAGCCTCAACAATATTACCTAATTTACAATAAGCATTAATCATAGTATTAAAAGTATAAATATCAGGCTTAATTAAATCACTCAACATTTCATCAAACACACATTTAATTTCCTCAATCATAACGAATCGCGATAAACACATCAACAACGTGTTATAAGCCCACACATTGAGCTTAAACTCATCATATTTGTTCATATCAAGCAATAAACGCATCGCAAAAACGGCGTCGTCACGAGTTTCGCATGATTTAAGCATGTTAAGTCGGGTTTTTTGAGCAACCCGAAAGAGATTATTAGAAATTAAAATCCGTAAAAGGGACGCGTAGGATTGAACATTGAGTTTGAAAGAAGGGACACAGGAGAGATAATTAAAAAAGGAGAGGGCAATTTGGGGATTTAGATTTGGGTATTGTGAGAGGAAAGACGAAAAGGAAGAAGGGGATAGGGAAGGAATTAGAGTTTTGAGGGAAGGGTGTTTTTGCCAATTCGGATGTGAAAGGAGGGAGAAGAGTTGGTGATTAATGGAAGGTTCTGGAGATTCTTCTGAGGTTGAAGATGAAACGGAAAATGGGAAGAATTTGATAAAGAAGAGAGGAATTGAGTGAACTGAACGGAATGGAGTAATCAACGCCGTTAATTGGATCATTGTATTGGGAAATCAGACGGCGGTGTTGACGACTCCGTGAATGGAAGAAATCGTTTAAGTTTTGAGATTCATTGGAGCTGAAGAAGGAGACTGAAAATGGAAGCTCAGAAACGCAGTGGCTGCTGAACACAGTAGGGCTGACTTTCGAATTTTTTGTTCCTCTTTTTCTTTTTTCTTTTTTCTTTTTTTCTATACTACTTTTTATTTCTTTTTCGGAAAAGGGTGAAAATTACCCTGCCTATTCGATTTAGTATAAATATATCCTCCGTCACCTAGGCTCATTTGGTTTGAATACGACTTATATCGATATAAAGTTATGTCGGTTAGGGGTGTCAATGAATATTTAAAAACTGACTAAACTGATCGAACCGTACCATACCGAACCGATTTTTAGGCTTTTTTTAAAAAGCCGTAGGTTTTTATATAAAACTATAACTGTACCGATAATTACGGCATGTTTTTTATTTTATAAAAATAAATCGAAAAATACCGAACCGTATCGAATAAATTTTATGTGAAAAATATATTTAGATAATAAGTTTAAAAATAATAAAGCAATAAATTTTTCTTTGGGCCTTCGAATTATAAAAACCATTACAAGCCAACAAGTAATTAAACTTATAATACTAATTTCTAAAACCTATTATGTTACTTCTACTTAAACTAAGTTATTTCAAGTATTTGTATTAGTAAGACACAAAGTATTCTAGCGATTATGATTAGCAAACTACAACGTATTGAATATGTTTCCATTCATATAATTTGAATTTACCTTTTTGAATATTTAATCTTCTATGACTTTATTCTTGAGTCCTAGCTTGGTTAATAACTTTCCACTCATGTAATTTATATTTTCTTTGCTTTTACTTAATTTCTTTTACGTTGCTATAGAATAGTTGATGGATCTAAACTATGGCCATCTTTCATGTTTTTTTAATTCATCACCCTTTAAACAGTAAGAATGTCTAGAAAGTTTTGCTAAGTCCTATAAAAGAACGTATTTTATTGCATTCTACTTCTACTGGTGAATTTTACATAACATTTAAAAAAATACCGAAAATTAACCGAACCGTACCGATACCGAAAGAGAAACCGACATGATTGGGACGGTTTCAAAAATATAACTTTGGTTATATATAATAGAATAACCGAAAAATTGTTATGGTATGTATTTTATAAAATAACCGACCGAATCGAACCATTAACACCCCTAATGCCGGTATAAGTTATGTTGAGATAAGTTATGCTGGGATTAGTTATGCGAGGATTGTTGTTTATCCACTGTTTCATATGTTGTATTAAAAATGGCAATTGCATAATTTCTAAGAAGAAGGTATAAGTTATACCAGTACTAATTACCCCACCCTCTATAAGGTATAAGTTATCACGGTGTTAAAATTAACACCGGAATAACTTATACCTCTTTTGCTAACCAAACAGAATATTAAGGTGGTATTAAATTTTTATACCACCCATATACTTTCTTACACCTCATACCAAATACCAAATGACCCCTTATTGAGCCAAAAATACCCCATCATTATTTTTCTGGCTCAATTATGCCCCTACGACTAACGATCAATGCCAAATAAAAAAAATATTTGTTTAAATTATACGTGAAAATTTTTTATTGGTCTAATTTTAAACTATGACCCCAATTAAACATAGAATTTTTATCTTTTAATACACTGTTTGAAACTTTATTACCAAAAATACTTATGTTTAATTAATTACCCGACCTAAATAAATTTTATTTACAAAATATATACATTCCACCTTAAAAGGCTTGCAATTCATTATTACTGCTTTCAATCAAGGAATTTAGTTACACCTATTTTCCTTTTTTCACCTTTCTCTTTCTTAAGTCTAGAATATTGGTACGGGATCTTTTCTGCGGCTGCTTTGAACCCTTGGGATTCATGAACATATGTATCTACTGAATAAACTATTCAAAGTTGTTTTCTTGTTACAAATTAATATTCGAAAAAGTGAACAAATATTTGTTTAATATAGAAGAAGATGACCTAACAAACATGGGGAAAATCAAAGAATAACCACAGGAGGTTTTAGTGTTTGGTCAATTGCTCTGAACTTGTTCCATTTACTGTAGTATTATTCTTTACCTGTGAAAATCGTTTGGTATTTTGGCAAAAGTTCTGATGTTGATAGACCTGCTCCTTGGCCTTTTGAGGTAGAGAAAAAGGTTAAATCCCGTGACTGAGCTTAGGGCAGGTAATGGAAAGTCATTAACAGCTTGTTTGGATGGTTGTTACCCATTGTATCGTATCGTATTGTATTGTTATTTTAAATACAATATTTGTTTTGATTGTTACTTAAATTTTATTGTATCGTATCGTTAAATTCATCGTTACATAGCGATGAAATGTGCCACTTTATGTAACGACCGATTTGGTATGGTCGCGTCGTTACCTTGTCTTTTTCTCTCAATCTCACCCTTTATTATTATTAAATTATTTTATTTTATCATTTACCCTACTTTTTTATATAGTAATTTTACCTTGTATCATAATTTTTCTTTATAATATTGCAAGTTTATTCTTAATATTGTTGGTGCGTGATATCATGAAACGATGGCAAACGATACAATCTATCCAAACATTGTATTTATCAAACGATACAGTACAATACAATACAGTACGATACAATACATTATGAAACGATGCGTAACAACCATCCAAACAAGCTGTAATCGAACAACTCAAAGTTAGGAAATTTATTTTAGTTTAACTCAAATTTATTTTTCTAATATCAATGAGAACCTTTTTCATACAACTAATTATATATTATACACAACAACAACAACAACAACAACCCAGTGTAATCTCACAAATGGGGTCTGGGGAGGGTAATATGTACGCAGACCTTACCTCTACCCCGAGGGGCAGAGAGGCTGTTGTATAATATAATTATATATTATACAACTTATCTAAAACTTTCACACATTATTTCTACCCAGTTATATACATTTACAATATCATAACACTTAAATATAATTTTTATACAAATTTTATACAATATATCTTTTATATATTTTGTATCTGATTTATACATAGTAAAAATAAATTTCATACAACTAATTATAGATTATATAACTTATCTACAACTTTACATTATTTCTACCTAGTTATATATAACTACAATATCATACAACTTAAATACAATTTTTATATAATATTGTTCAACTTTCATACAATATTTAAATAATAAAATATATACAAACAACATAATACAATTTACCTACAATTTTACTACAATTTCGTAAGTATACTATATATCATGTCTTCTTCTTCTTCTTCTTTTTCGAGTTTCAATCTGAAATTCAGTCAAAATCAAGTCTAATCTTCATCAAAACACCCTCAAAATTGAGATATAAACACCAAACAATATTCCTAATTGTTTGCAACAACACCAAATCCAAACAAATAATAATTTTTGAAAACCCAAAATCGAATTCAAAGCTTTTTAATGGCTGTCAATGGTGGAATTGCTGCTCTCTTTTCATTTGCTCTACATTACTGAAATTAGGGATTGAGAGATAGAGAGAGACGGAGAGAAAGAGAGAGAGAGAGAGAGAGAGAACAAGGATGAAAAATAATTGATTATTAATATGAAGGGATAGTAATTTAATTCCTAAAGTGTATATAATTGGTAAATTTGTATATAGGATGTATTTAAATTGAAACTTGAGTAGGGAGGGTAATAAAGTTTTAAATAGTGTATAGGAATGTAAAAATCCAAACACACCCTTAACCCTTTTTTTTACTCAACCCCAAAATCCGGCCCACTAAAAAAAATAGTCAAATTCTTGATTGATAAAAAAAATTAGCTTCTCCATCTTTTCAACTCTACCATAACCATAGTTGCCACCAACCCCTTTCCTCCGTAACAACCACGTTGCCATCACAACCATGATTCTTTTGTTTGTGTCATTCCTCTAACAGCGAGAATATTATGCTAATCGAAAGGGTTTGATTAGAAAATCTTTAATTTTTTTGATTTGATGTCCTTTTTTTGTTGTAAAATTAGGATTTTGTTCGAGAAGGAGTACCTAGGCCGTAAATTTTTTATTTTCTACAATAAATTACCATTTGGGTCTAACAACTTATTAAGAGTTTGCAAAATTTATAAAAATTGTGAAGAAAAAACTGGACTATTCCGAAATTTAAAGCCCATGTATTTGTAATGGGTTCTTTGATTATCTTATGTGATGAGAAACAAAAAAAGATTTATCATTATATGTGACATTTGAATGTGAAAATTAAGGTCTTTTGACGAACATTTTTGAAAAATGACAACTCCAATGGTAAATATAAAATGAAGAAGATAAAAATAAGAAAAATAACCAAAATTGCCTCTAGACTAAAAATGTGGTGGCAGCGTGGTTGCTATGGAGGAAAGGGAATGTTGGCATAGGTGGTAGAATTGAAAATATGAAGAAGTTATTTTTTTTGACAATCAAGAGTTTGGCCATTTTTAAGGCGAGTCGGATTTTTGGGCCGATAAAAAACAGGTTAAGGGTAGGTTATTTAATTGGGGTCATGGTTTAAAATTGGACCAATAAAAAGTTGCCACTTGTAAATTAAGTAAACCTTATTTGTTTAGCATTGACCATTAGTCGTAAGGGCATAAGCGAGCCAGAAAGATAACGGTGGGAGGATTTTTGGCTCAATAAATGAACAAAGGACATATTTCTACCAAATCGAATAGTGTGAGGACAGTTTTGACCCTTTTCCGTTTCTTTTTATATACTCCATAGTGAGTATCTCTATTTTAGAATTATTAATTCTTAGAATTAATACAACTTAGCTAAAAATAGTGCATATAGAAGAAAAATATCCATATAGGTAATACCTACAAGTTGAGAATAAATTTTACACTTAATAAAGAAATACTATTATTATTATTATTATTATTATTATTATTATTATTATTATTATTATTATTATTATTATTATTATTATTAATATATTGTATATAGCCGTTTAGTTTGATTTTTATAAATATCGAATCAAACCAACCACTGTCAATTTTTATAAATTTAAAATCAATTCAAACCAACCATTGTTAATTGAAATTTAAAATCAATTCTAACCAAGTCAAATAATATCATTTTTAAAATTTTCTTGTTTTAGAAAAATAATTTTTACAATTTTTCAATGGCAAAATCAAACATCACGAATGTGCTTATACAAATTTTAAATTACTAAAAGCATATAATTTTTTTCTTATATACT